CAAGATGCAGGGCACAACTCTTCGGCCGGTGAACGATGCGGGGCAATTCACCGCACCGCGCCCCAGGCTGATGGTACTCACCTCGGAGAAGGGCTGGCCGTGCTTGCTGCAGGAGGGAACAGACATGAAAGACTGCTACGTCAACCGTGAGGCAGATCGTGTTTGGCGGATCGTCCAGGGCGACCTAAGCGGGGCGTTCGGCGTTGCGGGGCAGCAATACTTTGGCCTGCGGCGGCGTCTCGTGATTGGGACGCCCGGGATGGGGGCGTCGATGAGCGTTGGCTTCTACCTCCTCCACCAGCTGCTGCGCTACGACGCCGGGCAACTCCGGGTGGTTGTGTACTGCTTTGGGGGGGACTTGGCGTACGTGTTTGACACGACGTCGAAAACAGTGAGCGTGCACGGGGGTGCGGACAACGTCACCGAGCTTTTGTACGATTTGGCGTGGCCCCCGGCGAAGAAGTCGCACCTTGACGCGGTGCTGGGGCTTTGGACTACGAGAACTCCGCAGCGAGGCACTGCTGCGAGCACGACGGAGACCAAGACGACTTCACTCCTCGAGAAGGTTCCACGCCGTGCCCGGCGTGGGGAGGTGAAGCGGTCTGCGTGCAGACCGGCCGACAAAACTGCACGACCGATTCGTTTCGGTCACTCCGTCGACATCACCCGCTGCGGGGATGTCCACAAGAACCCGGGCCCCGATGAGGACGGCTCCGTTGTCGTCTGGCAGCTGAACATCGCGGGCCTTTCGCCTGTCAAGAACATCGCATTAGCTGCACGTCTGGCCCGGCACCAGCCAGACATCGTTCTCCTCCAGGAGGTCAAGAACCAGAGTGCCACGGCGACGAAGTTTATTGGGTACACGGACTTCCATCAGGCCCGCGGTGGGCGTGGCGGTGGCGTTGCTGTTCTGGTCCGCCACACCCTGCCGTGCGAGTGCCTGACGCTCCCTGGCACCGACCCCCTGGAGGCTATTGCCGTTTGCGTGTTCCTGCCTGCTTTTCCCAGCATCTGCGTGGTGAGTTTTTACAACCCCCCACCGGCACTGGCTCATGCTGCTCAACTTGCGAGCATTGTTCGGCGTCTCGGTTCTGCTGCGATCGTCGCAGGAGACGTCAACCTCCACCATGAGCTTTGGGACAGTCACCTGCCGCCGACGGAGGAAGCTGAACTCCTCGCGGCGGCGCTGGTTGACACGGGCTTTGAAATCGCCAATGACCTGGCGCAGGCCACGCGGCTCAGTGGGCGCAGTATCTCGTCCCCGGACGTGACTGCCTACCGCGCCCTGCGCGTTTCCCACTGGAGCTCCACCCCCTACTTGGATTCCGACCACTGTCTGATCTCGTACTCCGTAGGGACAGAAGACGGCGTCCCGCGTTTGGCAAACGCTCTACCACGGCGGAAGAAAGCCACCTTTGCGCTGCGCAAAGCCGATTGGCCCGCTTTCACTTCGCAATGTGAAGCACTTCTGGCCTCTGTGTCCACATGGCCGGAGTTTCGCAGATGCATTTTACGAGCGGCAAAGCGCACCATACCGCGCGGCAGCCTTGCAAACCCCAAGACAATTTGGACCGACGAAATGGAGCAGGCCGAGTCTACTTTATTGGCTGCATTCAACGCACACTTAGCCTCACCAGGAGACAGCGTGCTGAGAGCTGAATTTCTCCGGAAACGGGAGGACCGAAATCTCGCCCTTCGCCGCGGCTTCACTAAGCTGTTGGAAGCCCGTGCACAAAGGCTTGGAGCGGATTCGAGCCCAAGCTGGCGATACCTCCGAGGCATGGCGGCGCCGCGCCCCCACCCTCTGGAATCGGTTGTGCTGCGGTCCTCTCGCGACCGCGTCTGCGCCCTGCCACGCCAGCAGGCAAATCTCCTTGTCCGCCATTTTGTCCGTGTTTCGCGTGCCCCCGCACCACTGGCGGCGTCTTGCACCCGCTGTCTCCGCCTGCCCCCGGGCGAGTGGGAAATGGATCGGCCCTTCACGCCCTACGAGCTGGACTTGGCCATCCGCGACTCCTCGCACGGCACAGCCCCTGGCCCGGATGCCATTCTGAATGAATTTCTGCAGCATCTGGGACCTGTTGCCCGCGGGACACTTCGAACGATGATCAACATCTGCCTTGCAGATGGCTGTGTGCCGATGCCCTGGAAAATAGGGGAGACAATCCCTGTCCCTAAATTTGGGAAGGATCCCTGCCGCGCAGAGAGCTATAGACCGATTACGTTGCTCTCTGCCTTGCTTAAAGTGACCGAGAAAATGGTTCACCGTCGCCTGTCTGCGTTACTGCCGCACCACCCACGTCAATTTGGCTTTGTGTCATCGCGCAGGACCTCAGATGTAGTGACTCTTGTCCTTGACAGGATCACGCGAGGGTTGAATGAGTTCAGCATGGTGGAGTATGAGCGCCCTAGTGGAGGCGCTCCCTCGCTGCACCCTCGCCGTCACCGCTCCCTGGTGGTCTTGATAGACTTTTCGACTGCGTTCGACACCATTGACCACGGGAAGTTGCTGGTCATGCTCGACAGGCTCCCGCGCCTTGGCCCCCGCACGAAACGCTGGTTGCGCAACTACCTGCGGGGCCGATACGTTAGGGTGAGGGTCCGCGAACAGACTTCGCGGCTACAACTCACCTCCGCTGGGGTGCCCCAGGGCAGTGTGCTGGGGCCCCAGCTCTTCTCTATTACGTGGATGACCTGCTGCGCCG